AAGAACATAAAAAAATTTGCGGTGAAAATAAAACATTTTTACCTGTAATGCCTGAAGAGGGGACTAAATTAAAGTTCGAGTCATGGGGCAAAACACAGGAACATCCATCTGCAATTTTTGCTTATTTTGAAAGCCTGTTGATCAAATTCAACAAAGATACGAAAGGCAACACAAATTATATGCATGATCATGTTGCAATGAGCTATGGATGGTAGTTTTACAGAGAAAAATCATAACGTATCAGACCATGATCATTTGACAGGTAAATCATACACATAACTTTGTTAAATGTGTTGTAATTAATATAAAAAAAAAATTTATATATATATATATTAATTTTTTTTTAGGATGGCTCAAAAAAAATCGATCGTCGAAATGTTTATGAGATACCTCATAAATGTATTATATACATTAAAATAAACATTTTATGAAAATTTGAGATTAAAAAAAAAATTTGTACAGGTCGCTTAACGCGTTTTAAGAAAATTGACCAAAAAAACTAAAATATCATTATTTATTCAATTTTTGTTCAAATTTCTTACTTAGTACATCTAAAATGTTCGTTTTTTTAATGCCAAATAAAAATAATTAGAAAAAAAAATTGTAAGGCCAAAATTGATTGCGTAAAGTCCATAAAAAGCTCAAAAATATGGTCAAGTTCTACAAACACTTAAGTAAACCAACAAATTTTTTTTTTAATTTGATTAATATTTGTGTGTATTTTAAGAGGAAAAAATTTTTTCCACTAATGTTTAAAACTACTACCTTTTTTTTTACAATAGAACATACGCTAGAATATACGATGTACATAAAAATAAATGAAAATATCGTCAAATTTTACTGTTTCCTTTTTACATTTTTTTATTTTAAAATTTGGCATTAGCTATATACATACATATATATTTATAATTATAAAAATACAAATTATTTTTTTTTTTTTTGTCACCAATGTTGATTTTTTACAATCGGGGTACTCATTCTAGACAGAATAAACGTATCTAGCCGAAAAGCCACGTATATTTTGGCGTCTGCTTTAACTTAGTGTGATAAAAATATTAATGATTATTCGATAAGTAAAGATTGAATTCAAAGAGCTCGTAATTTTAATAGAAAAATTATAAATAATGAAATAATAAAATAATTCAAACCAAACACCGCTTTAATGGTTCACAGGGACGGAAAAATGTTGCCGTCTTACAACAAAAAAAATTACACTGAACGTTTAGCGGTATTAGTATCTGGTGATGGCAAAACTAAACTTTTGGGAGTGCCTAAACTTTTAAATTCTACATGCCAATCGCAAGCTGATGCCGTTATTAAGCTTTTGGTTGATTGGAATTTAGTTAATCAAACAAATATGATGTGTTTTGACACTACTGCCTCCAACACTGGAAAACTAAATAGTGCATGTATTTTAATTGAAAAAAAATTAGGTAAGGAATTATTGAGTTTTGCTTGTAGGCACCACATACATGAAATAATAATTAGTAGTTTTTGATACATTAATGTCTCCATCAACTGGCCCAGACATAGCTCTATTCAAAAGATTTTCTAATAGCTGGGAAAATATAGACAAAAAACTATACTGTAATATGTTAACAGATGATGCAGAAAATTTGCGCGGCACTGACATAAAATTATTCGGAGAAATCGCAAAAGCGTTTTCAGCGGACGGTGACATTGATTTGGTGACCCATAAAGGTGTGTACCCATATTCATACACCTCCAGTTGGGATGTACTCGAAGAAAAACAATTACCGTCAAAAGCCGATTTTTATAATGAACTGTCAGAAATGCATATTGATGATGTCGAATACAAACATGCACAAAACGTTTGGCAACATTTCAATTGTAAAACGCTCGGTGAGTACTCTGATCTGTACCTGAAAACTGACGTAACAATACTTGCGGACGTTTTTACAAATTTTCGCAAGTTATGTCTACTAAAATATAAATTGGAACCGGCATATTATTTTACGAGTCCCGGTCTGTCTTTTGACGCTATGCTGCTGCATACGGGCGTTTCACTAGACATCATGAGCGATTATAAACTGCAACTCTTTATTGAGAGGGGAATACGGGGAGGAATGACAACTTCGGTGTTGAAACATACCATAGCCAACAATGAAAAGACACCTCGTTATGATATCAAACAACAAAAATCTGAAATTATATATCTGGATGTCAATAATTTGTATGGTTGAAGTATATCTCAACATATGCCATGGTATCAATCAATCGTATTATCAATTTTTGTGTATATTTATTTAAATAAAACTGTTATTTTATATAACTATAACTAGTAATAAGTTTAGATATAATTTTATGGATAACCAAACTGTGTAACTTCAATATTCCATTGGTATAATAAACGTGCCTTTTATATAAAATAATATTAATTACAATTCAATACACAAGTAAAGCCACCAAATGAAATAATTGTTTTCAAAATATTGATAACATATTCGAATAAATGAATAAACTTCTAAAAAGTATTGTAGCTGCCAAGTGTGTAGTGTAAACATTTGCAGTTTTAAATAATTATATTGTTATTTTTCCTGTTAATCGCACTGGCAAGTAGAATTTTCAGCCACAATATAAAATGTTAAAAGTTCTTAAATTTCTCTATGAAACTACGATATCTTAATGTTTAAAAGTAAGGGATGTTATTAATGAAATATATATTAATTCGTTGATAAATTTTCGGAATAAATTTTATGAAAATAAAATTCGGCGCAGTCGAATTATCTTTTGCAAACATGCGCATGAACTTGTATAAAAAAAAAAAATGTTAGCTCACCTTCGATCGCATTATAAAATATTTTTACAGCTATTACATCTGACCAGATCTGGTGACGATTTTATATTTTATTTCGCAAGGCGACAATATTATGCTTATAATATTTGGTTTATCCGGATTTTATTTTATTATTATTATTTTTTTGAAATGTATGTTGTTGTGTATTAAACAATATTAAGATTATTTTTATGAATTATTCAAAAACTATTATTTATCAGCTAAATTATTAAGTTAACCTTTTAATTTAAAATATTATTTGCAAAAATTTTCCTTTATATAAAATAGAGTTACCCTAATAATAATTATAATAAACATTTTATAATACAAAATTTATTATTATAATTAATAAAAAAATGTATAACACATCTACATAAAATCCAAAGTTTTTATAAAATTTAAATTGGTGTATTATTGAACAAAAATTTACACAAGGTGTTAATTATTAATTATAAATTAACAATTAATTAAAAAATGTAATATATACGGTTATATTAACATCATATAAAATGTTTTAATCGGTTAAAAAACTATGATTAATTTTAACTCAAAAACATAAATTAAAAAAAGTATTTTTGCTTCGATGTATTAACTAAAAAAGAAATTACTGTACTCGAGATTAAAATTTTCCGCTTAAATTCTGAAAAGATAAAAATAAATGTTACAAGTTTTCATTGAAAAAATAATAAGAAGTCTTATGAACAATGTTTGTAACGCTCATTGTTATTGTTTTCCTGTAATACATTATTAATAATTCTATAGAATTATTTCTAATGATAAAATAAAATTAAAATAGCTTAAATATACATATTTATTCAATCTCGACATGTAGACCGTGTGGCCTAATGGATAAGGCGTCGGACTTCGGATCCGAAGATTGCAGGTTCGAGTCCTGTCACGGTCGTAGGAAATTTTTGGTATATTTTTGACAATGCCAAAGGTTTTAAAAGATACCTCATATATTTCTATGATAACCTTTTAACTAGAATAGATAGATGAATTAATTTTAATACAATTCACTTAATGTCTTAATAAAAAAAAATTATTTTTATGAATAAGTTAAAAGTTTATTGTTAAAGTTACTTATTTAATTGATTAAAGATACACTTATAATTAGTGACTCTTTGTAATATACAGTGAAGGTTATGATTGACATTCTAGGGAGAAACAAAAAGATAAATAAAACATTATAGGATAATAGTTCCAAAGTTCTTTGTCAACCCATAGGTGCATATTTGGGGATATTAAGGCGTTCTAAATAGCGTCAAGTTATAAATTAAGATCCCTATTTCTTTCTTTTTTTGCAATTATTTTTAAAAAGTTCAATTATAGTATTGAATAAAAATTTAAGTAGCTCCAAGATTTAAACTGAATGCACATGATAGTCAATGACATTTTACACTCACAATATTAAAACACAAGATTTTAGAATAACAGTAATAATTTGTGTAATACTATGAGTTATTTTATTTAATTATTTTTAGCTAATGATATCACCCCTTTCATATAACTGCCACTGGTAATTTATTTATTAACCGAACATAACATATTAAACTAAAAAATAATTTAAAAGACGTCAGTAATTGTCGTTTTCGAATTAATTAATTCACAAAGTCAGTTACGTTGTGTTAAGTAATAAGTTTGTGTTACCTATAAAGTCATAGTTAAAATCGTTTACAAGTTGTAACTGTCTCGACAATAACTATATTTCAATTTGTATATCATATACATAAATGATAACTTAACCATTTTCTTTATAATTTTTTAAAATTTAATAGGTATCATTTAAACTGTATTCTTATCATAATGTTCCCAGTAACAGTTCCCAGTGATCACGACCTTAAAAGATATCTTCTAGGATTATGGCTAAGATTTATTAATTCAAGTATTACTCTATTGAATTACGGGTCTGTCATATCAAGTGGAGTCGATATTATTAGCTAACATAATTTTTAAGATAAGGATATACACATCAGGCGGATATTTAGTAAACAATAACAGTTATTTAACAACTAGTTTTTGATAAAATTAGATTTAAATTTCGTTTTTTTCATGAGATATTAATAATAATTATTAATATTAAAAATTTTTAAACATTATTAGTTTTATTATCTATATTATTTAATGTCATTATTAATTATTTTTTTTCAACTTTATTCTTATCATAAATACAGATTAAATGATAACCAATAAATATTAATATGTAACTGCCTATTAAGCCAATCATACTTCATTAATATAGAGTTCAAATAAAATATAATTTAAATTAATCATCAAAATGTATAAAATTTTACTATGAATTGTTTTTAATTATTGGGATTCACGATATTATATTTTATTATAGTTTTTTTTAACTAGTCATTTGGTATGTTCGAAAAAAATAATTTTCATCCATCAATTTAAGTAAAAAAATATATTTTCATTGGTTTAGTAAGTTCAATTATGACACTTTTTGTTTGAGTTTATTTTATTTCCACTACTTTTTTCAACGAACAATGTTAATTTTATGATTTTTTGTTTATAGCGTCATGGCAGCTCGAGATGGACAAGATTATGAATCCACTGATGGTCATTTTTCTGATGTAGTCCTAACTATAAGAATGTTAATGGGAAAAGTAATTACTGTCTTGATATAATAATCCTTTTAACTAATGAAGTAGCCATTTTATTTATAAATTAAATACATTTGTAATACGTAAATATAAGTTTTGTAAAATCTGGTTTAATTGATTATTTATTATTCTATAATCTTCTAATTCATCAACCAATATATCCTCTATGTTAAGTTTACTAATCACAAATACTGTGTTTTTTTTTTTTATTATTATTATCATAATCAGTTGATTATTTTATTATAATTTTACTTTGTTAACTAGTAATTTTATATATGTATTTTTTTTTAACGACTACTTAAAATTAAGTAAGATTAATGTAATGACTGATTACTTTTTATGCTTGAAATTTAATATTTGTTGATGCTGTAATTACATCTGTATGGTTACTAAACTGAGAAATATTAACAATAAGTACAATTTAATTTTAAAGATTACTAGTATGTTCAATGAACATTGTTCATCCACATATGAAATTACATTAGTACATACTTAAAATTGATTGTCTAATTTGTAATTTGAATGTAATCAATTTTAAAAAATAATTATTAATTAGTCACTTTAATTTGGACTCATTTTTATTGTATTAAAAAAAATACATGGAAATGGGCATGTGGTTCCAAACTTCTCTTCTTTATGACCATCTCAAATAAAATTTTGGCAATGTGTTTCATGTGGTAATATTTCAGTTTTAAAAGTTTCTTTTAAAAATTACTCTCTAAAATAACTACTATTTAGTTATTAGGAAGCAACTAATTTATATATTTTGTATTTGTATGTATCTTTTCATAGGAAATCCTTCCTTTAATTGGAGAATATGGAGAAATTGTTCGGGATCTTAGAAACCAGGTAACATTATTCTATAAAATTAAGTGTTACATGTAATGTTATGAACCCTAATTTTTTTAATTGAAATATTGAAATATTAATTTATAATACTAACTGAATATTAACAAATTAAGTATACATTTTTTAATGAATATTTAGAGATTTTATTACTATTTTATATAAAAATAATTGTCTTTAAAAACACATAAACAATTTAAGATTTGAGTTTTGACAATTAATTAATTAGTAGCAATTTATTGTTGCATAATTTGTTTTAATAGAAATACTTAAAGATATTTATCTTATTATATATATAATATAACAATATATATATATATATATATTTACTATTAATTTATAAGTAAGTAAATTATAATTATTTAATAATTAATGATAAAAATTACTATTATTTATTATATTACACCTAAATAGGCCTTGATTCGTAATTAATACTAAAATACATTATTACATAAAAAATTGCTGTACACAATTAATTAAAACAATTAAAATAAAATAATACATGAACAATGTATGTTTATTGGTATAACAAATAGTAGCTTTAAATGACACATAAAATATATTGACTGACTATTTAATAGATGGAGCAGAATGCTGTTAGAGTGTTTTTATTATATGAAGAAGAATACAATGAATGAGATATTAGAATAGCATTAAGTACACTACTGAAAATTCGGTTTTCCAACATTCTTCAGTAAAATCTGTCATTTATTTGATTTATTTTGTTTTCAATTGTAAGTTTTAAGTTTACTATAAAATCTCTATTAAGTTTAAAAAAATGTGAAAAAAAGCATCTGATAGCTTTTATTTATTATTGGTTAGTTTTCATTTCAATTCTTCCAAAATAGTTACATGAAATTTATTTTATTATTAAATTAAAGACAAATATTACAAAAACGTGTTGATAAATATTTGACTAATGTTTGGTTTGAAAAACAAATAGTTATTATATTACGGATAACTGGTAAATTCTGTTACTTTTATTTACTAAAATTGTTATTTTAATGCTTTCATAATTGAGTAAAGTTTTTTATATTGTTAAATTAATTATTTTATTGAATGAGCTCAGGTACAACTATTTGTGTTGCAGTTAAATACTATTTTTTATATTTATAAAATTATAAACTTATAAATTACTATAATTTGAAAACTTATAATGATTTTCCTAATGACATTTTATTACATAAGACTATGCTGAGACATAAAATTAACTTATAAATAATGTCTGGACTTAGGTCTAAAAGGTCCAATATACTTCTGTAGAAAAACCAAAAATAGTGTTAATATAATTAATTAATAATTCTTCTCATAGAAGAACTTTTCTTCTTTCCAAAGAATCTTAAACAACATAACGAACATATATAGTTTTTCTAAAGTGATCATTTAAAAAAATAAAATTTATTTTTTGGTAGATTGGATTTTTTAAATCCAAGCGACAGATATAAAAAAGAATAATTATGACTTTGTTTTTACTTTAATGTCTATTTCTGTTTCAGTCGGGAGCATCAATATCAATTACTGATAGTTCAACACCAGAAAGAATTGTTACTGTCACTGGCAATATAATTATTATTCAAAAGGCTTTTAAATTAATTTCCAGTATTTTAGAACAGGTATTTTAAAATAGATTAATAAAACTTAAAATAAAATTTTTTCATGTTTAGTAGGGTTTTGTCCCAAGTAAATCCATTACTGAATAACATAATATATGAATAAACTTCAAAACCCAATAACATAAAAAAGTGGCAACAGACATAAAAAAAAAATGGTAGCACAGTGGGGTCGAGGCACAATGTAGACAAGGCATAGATGGGACAAGTATAGATGATATCTGACAGTGATTAAAATCACTATCATAAGAAACGCTTCGATGCAAATCTGTAGATAGTGTTTCATTTAGAGAAATTGGTGGATTATTCTAAAAGCAACATGAACTCTTATTTCTTTAATTATATCCTGATTAGTAGTTCTTTGATTTTAAAATATAATATATGAATTAATACTAATTATAGTTTTTAAATTTAGTATGAAATTGTGAGGCCAGCATGATGTATAGTTCATTGTGTTGGGGGGTTGATAAGAAAGTAGAGCAGAGAATTAGTGTAGCAGAGATGAGAATGTTTAGATGGATGAGTGGAGTGACTAGACAAGATAGGATAAGGAACAAACATATAAGAAGGAGTATAGGTGTAGCATAAATCGTGGATAAGATTAGGGAAAATAGACTTAAATTGTTTAGTCATGTTATGAAGAGAGAAGAAGGGGAAGCTGTAAGAACAGTTATAGAAATGAATTTTGAAGCAAGAAGAGGTAGAGGAAGACCAAAAAGGAGATTGAGGGATGTTATTGAATGCGACATGAGGTCAGCTGATGTGAACGTAGAAGATGTGGGAGATCGTGTCAAGTGGAAGCTTAGGATAAGGGTGGCCGATCCCAAGTAGTTGGGATTAAGGCAAAGAAAAAGAAAATTCCGATGGCAATTGACATAATATGATTGTTGTTTGGGAATGTACAATTTAGCGTTAAGTTAGTTTTAAACAATATAGTGTCAAATCAATTACCTACTCTATCGGTTGTATATTAATATACACTACACTTTAATGATACAATAAATAAATAAATTCACACATACACACATATGCATTTATAACATTATGTCTAATGTAAGTATAACATGATAAAAAGTAACCGTAAAATGAAAAAAATGGAATATAAATTTTAGTACTCATATTAAATGTAATGTAACTCGAAAAATATTTGTTTAAATGAAAAAATATAAGATAATTTTTTTGTTTATAATTGTCTTTTAAACAACTTTTGTACGAAACTTTTTTTTGTAAGTTTATTACAATTAAGTTTAAGTTAATAAGTATATTTTTTGAGAAAATTAAAAAAGTTCATATTTTTGAACTTTTGCGAGGCTGTAATAAAAAACCTCAATTCCAATCAATGAGGACTATTAGTATGTCATTATACATATTTTAATTCAACTTTTAAAAAAACAAAATTTGGTTGGGAATTTTTTCCGCAATTTTTTCTTTGTTGACTGGCCTAGATGTCAATTTTAAACTTGTAATTGAGCTAAAAGTTATAGTAATATATTCACTTTTTTTACTATAAACTTTCATAAATCTTTATCAAAAATTTTTCATCAACTTTAAAGAACCAAATAAATAGGTTGAAATTGAAAATTTGGACTGATTATTTTTAACATTGTAACGTCACAAATTCGAAGGTGGACCGTTTATGATTTTTTGTTATGTCTACTTATTTATTTTATCGCGCGAAAGAACCTTTTTCTGACACAGCGGTGTCAACCACTCATTATTTTGCCTCTGACCGCTAGATAAGGCGATAAAAGAGAAATATAATTAAAATCGAATTGTTTATCAGTATTGATCCCTTCCAAAAAGACTGGCCGTTATCGATATGAAATTGCCGTTAGATCGGTGTTGACTCTTCTCTATTCTTTCTTCTGTCATTGACCGTGCTAGGGTGCACACATTTATTGTTTTATTGACATATTTTTAATTGATGGAGTAGAACCGCCAACGGCGAACGGCCAGATCTTTTCGGCGAAGCATCCAGACCATCGGATGGGTCTCTTCGGAGACCGGGTATCGTTTTCTTTTTTTATATTATATTTATGTAATGAGCTATATTTTATTGTAAATTAACTTAATTTTGTTTATGTGTGGAGAGCACGTGTTTCCCTTTTCTTCTAGCCAACGCTAAGGAGCGAGTGTCCAGACCGCTCCTGGTGTTCTTCATTAATTTCC